ACCTACACTCAGCTTTACTGGCCCCATCCCCGCCTCTTCGACCTGTTTGTTTCCTCTCCACCTATCCTCTCCTCTATCCATCTTCTATCCGCCTCCCACTCTCTCCCTATTTATTTCAGAACCCCCTTCCCCTCCCCCTTTTCTGATGAAGGGTCTAGGCCCGAAACGTCAGCCTCTCTGCTCCTATGATGCTGCTTGGCCTGCTGTGTTCATCCAGCCCTGCACGTTAATGTTTCAAATCCCTTCATCAGAACTGAAAGCAGTTGAGAAAGGATGGCATTTATGCTGATGATGAGGGGTGGGAGCGGTGAATATAATATGTGGAGCCAGTGTCGAGAGAGAGAGAGAAGAGAGGCAAATATTGGGAATGCTGATAAGACATAAGGGAGATAAATGCTGAGTAGGATGCTATTGAGAAGTGTGAATGATTGAATATAGGTTGGTTGTGCTGTGAGCAACCCATACCATACAGGACTTGGGTTGGGTAACAGACACGGAGGAGGGTGTTCGTGCTCTGAAATTGTTAAACAGAATGCTGAGTCCTGAGGGCTGTCAGGTACCTAGGCAGATAATGAGGTGTTGCTCCTCTAGTGGAACTGTTGCCAGTCAGGGGACATGGTCAGTCCTGCAGGTCCTGTTCAACCAGACTGGGGATTAGTGGTAAGTCAGTTGGGGAGCTGCACAGTGATCATTTAGGGGCCTGGCCATTCCTCTGTTGAGGCTGTCTTCCCAAGTCGATAAGGTGGGGTGAGCCATGGTCAGTCCTGAACGATGATGAGATGTTATGCTGTGTTGGGGGTTAGGGAAAAAGTAACATTCTTTTAGAGTTCGCTTATGAGATGGTGCTAGGGTTAGGTTGTGTCACTGGATTCTCGTAGCTGCAGTTACAATGACAGTTGATCAGCCAGAAGATAATGAAAAGTGGAAATATATTTATAAATGTGACCTTCTATTTTTGATGAAGTGTAACCCGAATCCCCTTTTTACCCTCAGAAGTGTTTTTGTTTATCATGTACCTCCCACTACTTGTACTGTGAAGGGCTATTTGTGGTTGGCAGTAATCGACCTGGTGCTTGGTTGGGCTTTAAATATGGTGCTGGTGGCAGAAATCCTGGCAAGGGATAAAGTGGCGTCCTAGAGTTGTGGCACCTACATAATAAGGTAAACAGTGTAAACTTGCTTGAAATAACTTAGTAGAACTCACGAAGAGAAACCTCGTAAGAAATTCCCTGCAAGTTACACTTGTGATGCTGAGTTTGGTAAAATTATTAAGTGTTAAAATGGTGATATTCTCATGTCATTTCAAGATATTTGTGCTTAACTTGTCTCCGAGTGTACCTTCTACTTTCATTATCACCTTCAAGATCTGCTTCCCTATATTTCACATTTGTTTAATAATTCTTTGTAGTTCTGAGGTCACTTACTGTTAAGGTATTGCTATTGATGATCAACAACGGATTCCTTGTATCAATCTGTGCCGATGAAGTCAGTGTTATTCTTTGAAAGTCAGCCTGTAACAAAGTAAAACTTAGTAAAAGTGTTAAAATTTCAGTAGTTTCAACCAACATGAATGTGTGAAGTGCACATAAAAGATGATAAAAATATAACCTATCAATTATTTAACAATGCTAAGAGACTAACACCTTCAGTGGCATCCTTACACCAGAATATCATTGAGGGACAGCAGCCAAAAATGTTGGGTTGAATCAAAGTAACTTATCAGCTTCTGTTTATTTTTTACTGAAAAAGAGCAGAGGATAAAAATTCTGTAGTAAGAATTAGCCATTTCCATTCCTTGCTTTGATTCAAGCATCAGCTCAAGGGGATTTCTGGTTTTCACCAACACTGATGTTTTTAAGCAGGCTAAAGAACCAATGACTTTGAATAATTCTCACGGAGAGTGAGTCAGGAAGTTAAAATCTATTGTGCACATTTAATAATTCTATACAAAACAAAATAATAGATTGGAATGTGCATATGGAATCAATATAGAACTGAAATATAATAAATGAACTTCAGCTATTTTGTTTCTTTAAAATAATTCAGATATAATAATTACATAACAATTACATAATTATATAACAATATAATAATTTAAATAATTATTTTACAATAATGGAAATAAATATAAAAGTAGTTTTTCCAGGGTCAGAGATCAGTCAGCAGTAATTATAAAGTTGGTACACCTTTAAAAAGGCAGTTACGTGTTTCCCTCAGCCTTGCTCAGACAGTAAAGGCCAAGTGTATCTGAACGAAACCCCAGTGATCAAGGACAATTTGCTGCTGAATATTTACTCATCTTAGCTGGAGCAGTTGTAATATTGCTACTCTTAGTTTCAATGCCTTTGATCAGAAAGGCAAAAACTCCTGATTTTTAACAAAAGATGATGACGGGTAAGTTATAAAGAAATGTAATACATTTTACAAAGGACCACATGAAATTAAAAGAAAAAGCTGTATGTACCATCATTGCTCTCTGTTTAAATCTAACCCAATTATGAGAAAATAAACACACGCACGCCATAAAATTAAGTACAACTTAAAATTTTCAGTCATAACTGCCAATAAGATGAACTGCAAATGCTGTCAGGTATTATAATTAGAATTTTTACAAAATATTCATAAATAGCCATTTTCAGGATCTTTTACTAGACTAACATTGTAATTGTAATGGAAAAGATGGGGAAGCTGATGACATTGTGGTATTGTCACTCTGCCAATAATCCAGAGACCTAGGAAATACTGTGGGAGCCAGTGTTTGAATCCCACCACAGTGGATGGTGGATTTTGAATCCCAATAAATCTGAAATTAAAAGTCTAATAATGATTATGAGACCATTGGTGCTCATTGTAAAAATTCATCTGATTTACTAATGTTCTTTAGGGAAGGTAAACTGCTGTCTTTATCTGTTCTGGGCTACTTGTGACTTGAGACGATAGACCAAAGTGGTTGACTCTCGACAGTCTTCAAAAATGGCATGGCAAGCTATTTAGTTGTATCAAACAGCTGAAATGTGTCAAACAAGAAAGAACCTGGACAGACAATCTTGGCATTGAGCGAGGCACTGGAAATGACAATGACACACTAAATCTTAATGGTCCGGCAAAGACTTCCTAATTAACTGTCGCATTGGGCTTAAAAAAAGTACCTTGAAACTGGATTGTTAAAGGTTAATTGGACATGCTAATGAGAAATCGAAGACAGTGTAAATTATATAGGAAGCAGGTCTACTACAAAAAACAGCCTGTTTTGGCTGGAATTTAACTGTACTGATCCTAGCTGGAACCTGGGAAACAGACTATTGTGCAGTTAACACAGAGACACCTGGAGTTGTTTTTTCAGGATGGAATACTTGGAAAAGTATTGAAGGTACTAAGAAATGGTGGTACAGCACTTAACATTAGATTCTGGCAGTATTAATATCAGGGACTTTCCCGGCTACTGGAGTTTCACCATTGGATCAGGTTTGTGAGAACAGTGCCTTGGAATCTGAGATAGAATTCCAAGCATCACTGTTACCAGTCCTCTATGAGCCTACAGGCAGTGAGACACATTAGTTGGCAGATGTACAAAGTAGTTTAAGGTGATAGGGTTGCTTGTTCGTTTGCATATGCAGTAGATTGAGCTGGTAGATTCAATCATTAGTTTGGAAAAATATTAAGTAAATTAAGCTAATAAATTTGCTATATTGAAGCAAATGTATCTCCTTGTATTCAATTCAATCAGATCTTAAAGAACTCATGAGGTACTTTCAACCTAACAATACACTAACATCTGGGGCTAATATCAAATTTGTAAGAATTGTTTCATAGACGAGTCAAACAGTAGCCTCACTGTCCTACTGATAGAACTGCACATTACAGAAAATATCTTAGAGAACACCATCACTACGCTTGGGGATGGTTGAAAAATGCTGGTCCAGTTGGTGACACCACATCCCACAAATCAATAAAAAAATGTCTTTCAAGAGTAGGAGAAAGTGCACCTTTAAAAACTTGGATGCAAAGTCATTATTATGAATAATCTTATGATTGGTACTTACATTTATAAATGTGTCCATCCAGATCCTCATAACAATTTTGATCGTGTATTGGTTGTTCATTTTGAGGTTGTTTATAGTGCATAGAAAGTTTTCACATTTGACATTGTCACAATTCTTCAGAAGCAAAGAAAATTGACAAAGTAAGCATAATCAAGGATTTTTTTATTATGCAAATAAAATTTCACAAAACATCCAGACTTTCCAGCAATAAGGTTTGGCTGCTTGTCATTCTATTTGGATCCTAAAATAGGATAATACCAGCTGGGAAATCTAATAGGATTTTTTGGCAAATTTTTCTGGACTGGGGATGTTTCCAGGTCAGAAAATAATGAGACTCACTCCTTTATTCAAAAAGGCAGGGAGACAGAAAACAGGAAACTGCAGGCCAGTTAGCTTAACATCTGACATAGGGAAGAGATTGGAAACTACTGTTGAAGACATTATTGCAGAGCCATTAGAACATTTCAAAGTGACCAGGCAGATTCAATATAGTTTTGTGAAAATAAAATTGTGTTTAACTGATTTTTTAAAAAGTCTTCAAAAACAAATAGCCTGTGCTGTAGATAAAGGAGACCTGGATGATATAGTGCACTTAGATTCAAGAAGGCATTTGATAAGGCATCAGGTCAAAAGTTACTGTGGAAAATGAATGATCATGGCTTAGAGGGTAACATATTGGTATGGATAGAAGATTGGCTAGCTGACAGGAAGCAGAGCAGACATTAGTATAATCACGAAGTTGGGTTGTCAATTATTTTCACAGTTAAATGGTACATTTTCTCTGAAGTTTAAAGAATACAAAAAATTCTTTAGTCAATGTTACACTTAATTAATTTGTTATAGTCAAAGTTTTACAATTTTATGTTTTATCATGTGAATGTTTATGTCACTAGTAGTTCAAATATATTTCTAAAGTTATTGGTGTATATACATTGGTGGTATCCTTCAGGATGTTAATGGCAGAAGATTCATTAATGGTAATGCTTTTGAATGTCTAGGGGAGATGATTAAATTCTCTCTTCTTGGCGTTAGGCATTATCATGTGTCTAGCATTTTTTTGTGTAGTTTGAATATATGTTGGCATCTTAGTTGACCTATGAAATCTCTGAAAGTTCCTAACAATCTAACAGGTATCAAATTATATGCCAGTCTGGGTTTGGGTGGTTGCCATCTGTTTTGTTAGTCATTTGGGGTCTCCTCTATAGAGGTATGTCTTAAACTCCCTCCCATCTTTACAAAACACCACTTATGACCTACTTGAATCTTTGCAACTAATTAAAAGGTATAAGTAAAACAATAATTTGTGGGCTGAATTTCATGGTTCAAAAGGGGTAGATGACTTATTTGCCATGTACATGTAAAATCAAGAGTTATAGGGCTAAGATACAGAGGCATCTGGTTGTCCTCACACATGAATCATGAAAGGTTAGTTTGCAGGTACATCAAATAATGAAGAAAGCTAATAGAATGTTATAATAATTACAAGGGGAATTGAAAGCAAAAGTAGGAAGCTTTAGCTTCAGCCCTACAGGGCACTGGTGAGTTTGTGTACAGAGTACTATATGCAGTATTTGTCCCATTATTTAAACAGGGATATAAATATGTTGGAGGCAGTTCAGAGAAGATTTCCCGGACTAATATCTGGAATGGCCAGGATGTCTTATCAAGAAAGGAGGCACAAGCTAGGCTTGTATCTGCTGGAGTTCAGAAGAATAAGCAGCAAATTGAATTATTTAAAATCTTGAAAACTCTTGACAGGGACAATGTGGAGAGGATGTTTCCTCTTATGGGAGGATCCAGAACTAGGGGTCACTGTTTAAAAGTAAAGGATTGCCCATTTAAACCAGAAATTAGGCAAATTATTCTCTCAGAAGGCCATGAGAATTCGGAACTCTGTCCCTGAAAAGGGACAGGAAGAAGTGGAGTCCCTCAATATTTCAAAGGCAGAATGACATGGATTCTTGTTAAGCAAGGCATGGAAAAGTTATCAGAGATGGACGGGAATGTAGACATAAGGTTACAATGAAATCAGCCATAATCTTATTGAATGGCACAGCAAGGTCAAGGGCTGAAAAGCCTAATTCATATGTTTGTATGCTTGGAAAAATGGGGCCCTCTCATGTGATAGGTTGGCATATAATCCACATCTATTGCTCTTGCCACTTGTTAGTCTACCAGTGATCAAGGCCTTTCTGCACTTGGACATAGACTCCTTTGATATCTGAGGAGTCACAACTGATAACTGAAGACTGTGATACTGGTATCTTGCGGGTCTCTGCATCTGCCATGACAAACTTTCCTCACACCAATCCTTCATTCCCCATTTGTTTGATCCAATACAGCATATTAAAATTTAATAGCTTGGAGACAAACTATATATCAATTACTGGAGTCTTGCAGCACTGATTCTGATGCTAGACAGGCCCCGCAGGCTGTGAATATATCCCATATCAAGTTGTGCTGCATATAACTCTGCTCTACAACAAGCACTTGACAGGAACTAGCACTAAATGTAGGCTTCAACTTTGAGGAGAGACACCAATGGGGAACCTCATGTGGTCCAGCTATTGGCTGCCACTCAAGATGTTGTTAGTAGTTTAGAATTAGATTTAGGGAACTGTTTTACAGACAAATTGCTTCCCCTAGAAAGAACACATCTTTCAACAATAGTGGTATTATCGCTGCATTGTTAAACCAGAGACCCAGATAATGTTCTGGGGACCTGGGTTCGAATCCCGCCATGGCAGATGGTGGAATTTGAATTCAATAAATATCTGGAATTAAGAATCTAACAATGACCATGAATCCATTGTCGGTTATCAGGAAAATCCCATCTGGTTCACTAATGTCATTTAGGGAAGGAAATTGCCATCCTTACCTGGTTTGGCCTACATGTGGCCCCAGACCCACAGCAATGTGGTTGACTCTTCCCCTCTGGCCAAGTAGGACTGGGCAATAAATGGTGCCTAGCCAGCGACGCCCTCATCCCATGAATAAATAAAGAAAAAGAAAACCAATTGACTAAGTCCTTCTATATTACTTATTAACCACCAAAATATGCATAACTTGACAAGAGCTCTGCTTGGTTGGCTTTGGGGACACATGATTTCCAGAAGCTTGGGCCCCAGATAGTAGGTGGTGGAAAATAGATCAAGAATATTTAAATTGCTAAATATGAATAAAGTGGTGAAGCTTCAAGTTAATGCTCGGTCCAATATCTTAAATTTTAAATAATAACATATTGCCTTACCAAATCACTGAAACTGCGGAAGCTCTCCTTGTTAAAAGTTGTGGAATGATAATTGGTGATGTCCAGAGTATCAAGTTTTGCATCACAAATGATGTTGTTGCTCTGCAATCATTTTTGAAAAACGCGATTATTATATTGAATGACCAACTGAAAGTCACAAATACCTTCACTGCTAATGAATACCAATCTCAAATGCAAAAGGCAGGGCACTGAATAAATTGCAATGATGAATTATGACTGATGCTTGTAGCTTAGGAGTTTGTTTTCTTTGTCGTTGTAGTACTGGTATAAATCTAACTTTGTTACAATTCTCCTGATCATCCAATGACTGTTTAAATTTCCAATGGGATAATTTTATGAATTCTTATTTCACCTTAGAGCAGTGCCTGCCAGCAGTACAGATCCATCCATACCCTAAGCTTGGTCAGTACAGATCCTTACCCTAAACTTCCTCAATTAATGAGAAGTGAATACCCTTCCAATGTTCCTCATGACCAATCTGAATACCAACTTCAGAAATTGCCTTTGACCAGCTTATTAGTACAGGTGACAACCAGAGGCACAAGGATGGTCTTAGAAGTATATGGCTTGAATAAGATAAACAATGAGATGCACAGACAGGCAAAAATTTCACTCATGAAAATTTGTTTATATACATCATTTTTCCAGAAACCTACTGTTTCACACATATTAACTCCAGTCAGCAATAAAAAAAGCAGGTCTACCTCATAGGTAATAGATGCCAAATTGACAGATGAAGACAATTAAACATTTGTTCATGTTTTACTGGATTTAACTTAGTTTTTTTTAAAAACTGAATGTGTATTTATGATCTCACATTAAGCAGATGGTGGGAGTTTTGACTTCAAGTGCAAGTGGAAAGCAACTGATTTATATTTCTATTGAAATCAATATCACTATCGATCATCTAACATTGTAACTTGGAGTCAAAATTATCCTTGATATATTTCATCCTGGCACAAGAAATTCTATTCACTGAGGTGGGTGTGAAAATAAGATTGTCATCAGTCCTGATTTGCTTTGTTCTTCATATAAAAAGTTACAGTTGTCACATAGCACATTTCAGGTGTGATTCATACTGCTAGGTATGAACTGGTTATTAAATAAAAATTATAAACACATACTTGAGTTACATCAACAAGATACAAAAGTCGATTGTCCTTTTTTGTAGATACTGGTATATTAACTGTGACATAGGTGGTCTGTATAGGGAAATGTCCAGTATTGACCTTTAAAAAAAAATAAAAATTAGTTGTAGCATTTTTATATTCATTTCCTGAAAAACTAATTTTATAATGGGCTTTCAATATAATTATGGTAGCAAATGAATTCACATGAATGCTTTTCGTGCAAACACCAATATCACGTTAAACAATTTTACGTACTTTATTGTCCTTTAGGAAATGAGTGGAGAATACTGAGCAGAAAATACCAATCAACACACATCTGAATGCAACAATGCCATGAAAATACAACACATACTTACTATGAGTGTAATAACATATTCTGGACCAATTTGATCTAATGGAGGTCTTGTTTTGTTAACCAGTGTTTTAGAAGTTATTTCATAGAAATGTTTGTTAGTAGTTCTGGAACATAAAGAAAATAATATCAATAAGTATTGTTAGAATATACAATTACAAATAAAAAGCATAATATATTTCAGTACCTCATCATTTTAATCCATTTATACTTTTATCAATTATTTAATAGAACATTGATTAGAGAAATCAAGGCAAGACAATAAGACGGCAATAAGCGATATAATGATCAGAGCATGGCAGGCAGGCAGGCAGGCACAGAATGTGCAAATCTAAGAGTACACCAGCAGAAAAGGCTAGTGGTTATGAAAATTATAAAAGCATAGACTTAATAATTCAGTGGCTGAATGCACAGAGCATTCATAACAAAACAGATGAATTGACAGCAAAAAAATAGACACTAATATGTGTAGTTTGATAGCTAATGCAGAGATGTGGTTGCACGGTGATGAGGAATTGCGTCTGAATATTGAAATATACAAGATATTTAGGAATTATAGGAAGGAGGGAACAGGTGAAGGTGCAGTTTTGTGATAAAAGATGAAATTAGTACAATGGGAAGAGAAGACCTATACAGGCTAACCTAAACAGGAAGAAATGATAGGGATTTGAACGAAAGGTATGGCACTGATAATGGGTACTTTAAATTTACATATAGATTTGATGACTTAGATTGACAATTATGGCCTGGACGATGGTTGATGGTGTGTTTTCAGCACATCTTAGAGCAGCATTTTCTAGAGACAGTCAGGGAAAACTTTACTGTATTTCTGGTAATGTGCAATGAGAAAAAATTAATTAATGACCTAATCTTGAAGGTGCCCTAGATAGCATTGTTCATAAATGATTGAAAACCACATTTCTTTTGAGGGCGAGAAGACTTAAATCTAAAACTAGTGCGTTAAACTTAATTAGGGGCTGTTATACGAGGATGAATACAGAACTGGTAGAAGTGAGCAGAGAAATTAGATTACAAGATAGGTCAATAGAGTAGCAGTGGCAGACATTTAAGGATATATTTCAGAATACTCACATGAGGGAAAACTCTCTGCTGGTTGGAATCATACCTGGCACAAAAGTAAGATGATTGTGGTTGTTCTAGGTCAATCATCTCAGTCCATATCCTCTGTCAGAATTTCTCAGGGTGGTCACCTAAGCATTGCATCTTCAGATATTTCATGAGTAATCTTCCCTCAAGTGATGGCCTAGTAGTATTAACACTGGACTGCTAATCCAGAGACCCAGGTAATGTTCTGGGGATTTGGGTTCGAATCCCGCCATGGTAGTTGGTGGAATTTGAATTCAATAAAATATCTGGAATTAAGAGTCTAATGATGACCGTGAATCCATTGTCAATTATCAGGAAAACCCCATCTGGTTCACTAATGTCCTTTAGGGAAGGAAACTGCCATCCTTACCTGGTCTGGCCTACATGTGACTCCAAGCCCACAGCAACGTGGCTGACTCTGAACTGCCCTCTGGGCAATTAGGGATGGGCAATAAATGCTGCCTAGCCAGTGACACCCTCATCCCATTAATGAATAAAAAATAAAAGAAATGGTCAAAAATGTGGTTGTTTACTGATGGTTTCACAATATTTAGCACCATTCATAATTGCTCAGATACTAAACAGTCTGTGTCCATATGTAACAAGACCTGAACAAATTCAAGCTTGGACTCTAAAATGGCATGTAACATTCATGCCACACAAGTAACAGGCAATAACCACATCCAATAAGAAATAATTTAATCATTACCCCTTGACAGTCAATGGCATTACCATCACTGAATCCTCCACTATCAACATCCTGGGGATTACCTTTGACTTGAAACTGAACTGGGCCAGCAATGTAAATACTGTGACTACAAGAGCAGGTCAAGGACAAGGAATTCTGTGGGTAATAACTCATCTTCAGTGCAGTCTCCCTGTCCACTATCTACAAGGCATAAATCAGGAGTGGAATGAAATACTACTTGCCTGGCTAACTGCAGCTCCAACAACATTCAAAACAATCAATATCATCCAGGACAAAGCAGCTCACTTGATTAGCACACAATCTACCATCTTCAACATGCACTTCAACAGTTGCAACAGTGTGTACCACATACAAGTGTAGTGCACTTACTCATCAAGGCTCCTTTGCCAGTATCTTCAACTCCTGTGACCAATACAGGTAGAAGCACTAAAGCAGAAATCCATGGGAATAACGTCACCTGCAAGTTCCCCTCCAAGCCACACATCATCCTGACTTGGAACTATATCATCGTTTCTTTGACACTGTCACTAATATCATAGGTCAAAATCCTGGAAATAATTTTCCAAGGGCATGAAGGGTATTCCTACACCTCAAGAATTGCTGCAATCAAGAATACAGATCAGAATCACCTTCCCCAGGGCAGTTCGAAATGAGCAATAAATACTGGCCCAGCTAGCAATGCCCATATCCCAAGAGCAAATAAAAAAGATACATTCCAGTGTTAAGGGAAAACTCCAAGGGAAGGATGCACCATTCGTGGCTAACTGAAGTTAAGTATAGTATTTAGTTGAAGGAGAAAGATGTAGTTCTGCAAAGATGAGGGACAATTTAAAAGCTTGGGCAGAATGCACAGAACAGCAAAGAATGGCTTAAATATTAATAAGAAAGGATAAATTAGTGTATTATTTGCTAGTATTCCCTCATATTACAGTAGGCAGAGATTCTACATGTACTTAAAAGGAAAAGAGCAAGTAAAATGAGCATTGACCCACTGGAAAGTGCATTTGAGGAATTAATCATGTAGATGACATAAATAGCATTCCAGAAATAATTGTGAACCTGGAAGTGAAAGGCAGAGAGGAAATTAAAATAATTACATTCACCTGGGTCCTTATTAATGTAATTCAATTTTTCGAAAAAAAATTGACAGAGACAGATACCAGGAAATTGCAGGCCACTTAGTTTAACATCTATCATAAAGAAAATGCTGGAATTTTCTCTTAAGAAGGATATAACGTGGCATTTACAAGATGTCAGGCAATCAGACAGGGTCAATGAGTCATTGTGAAAGAGAAATCATGTTTAACCAACTGATTGCAGTTTGAAAAAGTAAAAATTGATAAAGGGAATATATAGATGTGCTCTACTTAAATTTCCAGAAGGAATTTGACAAGGTGCTATATCCAAGGCTGCTGTGCAAAATAAGAGCTCATGGTGTAGGGGTTAACATTATAACATGGATAGAGCTTTGTTAGCTAAAAGGAAAGGGAGTGGGCCTAAATAAGTCGTTTTCAGGTTGGTGAATTATGACATCTGGATTGTCACAGGGATCAGTGCTAGAGCCTCATCAATTCAATTTATATCAACAACTTTCATGAAGCAGCTGAATGCATGATTGTAACATTTGCTGATCTCAAATATTAGTTGGAAAGTAAGCTGTGAAGAGGACATGAAAAGTTTGCAAAGGAAAATAGACAGCGAATGGGCAAACATTTAGGAGATGAAGTATGATGTAGGAAAGGATGAACTTGTCCAATTCTTGGATCAAAATACAGCATTTTATAAAAATAGAGAGATTTTAGATCCTTCTATTGTGGAGAGAGATCTGGGTGTCTTAGTACATGAACCAGGAAGTGCAAATGCAGTACAGCAAGTGATTTGAAAAGTAAGTGGAATATTATCATTTATTGCAAGAGAAATGAAACATGAAATTAGGGATGTCTTTTTACAATTGTATAGAGCTTCAGTGAGGCCATGTCTGAAGTCATGTGTAGTCTTGGAAGTAATTGTGTTTGAGGTGGTTGGGAAAAGGTTAACTCAACTGATACCTTGGATGAGGGGGCTTATTTTGAGGCAAATTTCAATAGGTTCAGCCTGCATCAATCAGCATACAACAGAATGAGAGTTGATCTTCTTAAAACCCATAAGATCCTGACAGGATAGCTGTTAAAAAGGATGTTTCCCCTTGTGGGAAAGACTAAAAGTAGACAGCATCATTTAAAAATAACAGTCTTCTATTTAAGTTGGAGTTAAGGAGAATTTTGTTTCTCTCTCAGATGCTCATGGGCATATGGAACTCACTTTCCACAAACTGGCAGATTTACTGAATAGTTTTAAGTCAGAGGTAGATAGATTCGTGACCACCAAAGGAGTCACAGGTCACGAGATGTAGGTAGGAATGTGAAGTTGAGGCCAGAACCAGTTCAACCATGATCTTATTGAATAGTGGAGCAGGCCTGAGCGGCTAAATGGTGAATGGCTTGGAGGGGAACTTGGAGGCGGTGGTGTTCCCTATGTCTGATACCCTTGTCCTTCGAGATGGAAGTGGTCGTGGGTTTGGAAGGTGCTGCCTGAGGATCTTTGGTGAATTTCTGCAGTGTAGCTTGTAAATAGTACACACTGCTGCTGCTGAGCGTCGGTGGTGGTGTGAATGGAAGCTTGTGGATGTAGTGCCAATCAAGTGGGCTGCTTTATTCTGGATGGTGTGGAGATTATTTAGTGTTGTTGGGGCTGCACTCATCCAGGCAAGTGGGGAGTATTCCATCACACTCCCGACTTGTGCCTTGTAGATGGTGGCGAGGCTTTGCGGAATCAGGAAGTGAGTTACTTGCTGCAATATGCCTAGCTTCTGGCCTGCTCTTGTAGCCACCGTGTTCATATGGTGAGTCCAGTTGAATCTCTGGTCAATGATAACACCCAGGATGTTGATAGTGGGGGTTAAGTGATGGTAACACCATTGAATGTCAAGAGGTTAAATTGTCTCTTATTGGTGATGGTCATAGCATGGCATCTGTGTGGCATCAATGTCACTTGCCATTTGTCAGCCCAAGCCTGGATATTGTCCAGATCTTATTGCATTTGTACATGGATTGCTTCAGTATCTGAGGAGTCACAAATTGTGCTGAACATTGTGCAATCATCGACGAACATACCCACCTCTGACCTTATGACAGAGGGAAGGTCATTGATGAAGCAGATGGTTGGGCCTAGGACACCACCATGAGGAACTCCTGCAGAGATGTCTTGGAGCTGAGATGATTGACCTCCAACAACCACAAAAATCTTCCTATGTGTCAGGTATCGCTCCAACAATTGGTGAATTTGCCCCTTGATACCCATTGATTCCAGTTTTGCTGGGGCTCCTTGATGCCACACTTGGTTGAATTCAGCCTTGATATCAAGGGCTGTCACTCTCACCTCATATTTGGAATTCAGCTCTTTTGTCCATGTTTGAACAAAGGCTGTAATGAGGTCAGGAGCTGAGTGGCCCTGGCGGAACCCAAACTGGGCATCACTGAGCAGGCGCTGCTTGATAGCACTGTCAATAACACCTTCCATCACTTTACTGATGATCAAGAGGACACTGTTGGGGAGGTAATTGTCCGGGTTGGATTTGTCCTGCTTTTTGTGTACAGGACATACTTAGGCAATTTTCCACATTGCCGGGTAGATGCCAGTGTTGTAACTGTACTGGAACAGCTTGGCTAAGGGAGTGGCAAGTTCTGGGGCACAAGTCTTCAGAACTGTTGCTGGAATGTTGTCAGGGTCCTTAGCCTTTGCAGTATCCAGTGTCTCCAACCGTTTCTTGATATCACGTGAAGTGAATCAAATTGGCTGAAGACTAGTATCTGTAATGCCGGGGACCACTGCAGGAGGCTGAGATGGATCATCCACTTGGCATTCTGGCTGAAGATTGCTGCAAATGCTTCATCCTTATGCTTCGCACTGATGTGCTGGGCTCTTCCATCATTAAGGATGGGGATATTTATGGAGCCTCCTCTTCCTGGGAGTTGTTTAATTGTTCACCACCATTCATGACTGGGTGTGGCAGGACTGCAGAATTTAGATCTGATCTGTTGGTTGTGGGATCGCTTAGCTCTGTCTATCACTTGTTGCTTTCGCTGTTTGGCGTGCAAGTAGTCCTGTTTGGTGGCTTCACCAGGTTGATACCTCATCTTCAGGTATGCCTGGTGCTGCTCCTGGCATGCTCTCCTGCACTCGCCATTGAACCAGGATTGATCCTCTGGCTTGATGGTAATGGTTGAGTGGGGGATATGCCGGGCCATGAGGTTACAGATTGTGCTGGAGTACAATTCTGCTGCTGTTGATGGCCCACAGCATCTCATGGACGCCCAGGCTTGAGTTGCTAGATCTTTTTACTACTGTTCCTAATTCGTATATTTGTATGTAACATCATGTGACATATTTAGCATCCAATCACTGCAAATGTCTCCTTTTTAATAATATATTTAAGATATTTAAATGGAATGGTGTTAGAACTGGTACCTTCCAAGGTTTAAAATTTCAGGAAGTATAGGAAGAATTATAGAACACTTACAAGCACATAAGGTGATGTGGGTTTTGCCTCCAGAAGGGTGTTTTACCTGATGAGGCAACAATTGTTATTTTCCTTGACCTAAGAGACTCGGAATGGATTTTGCGGTATTGAAGAGTCCAACACACATTTAAAACAACTGTTATATACAAACATTATGCTTATAGGCACAACAATGTCTGGCAAATATCAATTATGAAAGGTTGCAAAAACCAGCATATTTCTAGTAGCATGTCATGTTTCAAGTGATTCCTGACATGATGGCATAGGAGTTTTTTATACTCTCAGTTTTGCATTTTTTTTATGCTTGCTATGATACAGTGATGGTATCATGAGCATGTCTCTTAAAAGTGTGGATATGCCCTATCTTTAAAAAATGACGTATTCACATACTGACCATGAGGAAAATAGGTGATATAGTGGACAGTGAAGAAGATTATCTCTGAGTACATCAGGAAATGATCAAATGGGCCAATGAGCCAAGGAGTGGCAGGTGGAGCTTAATTTAGATAAATGTGAGGTGTTACATTTTGGTAAGGCAAACCAGGGCAGGACTTGTACAGTAAATGGTAGGGCTCTGGGGAGTGTTGCCGAACAAAGAGACCTAGGGGTGCAGCTGCATAATTCCTTGAAAGTGGGGTCACAGGTAGACAGGATAGTGAAGAAGGCATTTGGTATGCTTGCCTTTATTGGTCATAATATTGAGTGTAGGAGTTGGGATGTCATGTTGCGGTTGTACAGGACATTGGTAAGGCTACTTTTGGAATACTACGTACAATTCTGGTTGCCCTTCTATCGGAAGGATGTGTTAAACTTGAGAGGGTACAGACAAGATTTATAACGATGTTGCCAGGATTGGAGGTTTTAAGCTATAGGGAGAGGCTGCATAGGGTGGGGCGATTTTCCCTGGTGCTAAGGTCTTTTCCCTAGGGTGGGGGGTTCCAAAACCAGAGGACATAGGTTTTAAGGTGAGAGGGGAAAGATTTAAAAAGGACCCTGAAGGGTAACATGTTCAAACAGAGGGTGGTGTGTATCTGGAATGAGCTGCCAGAGGAAATGGGAGGTGAGTACAATTACAACATTTAAAAGGCATCTGGATGGGTACATGAATAGGAAGGGTTTAAAGAGATATGGACCAAATGCTGGCAAATGGGACAAGGTCAAATTGGGATGTCTGGTTGGTGTGGATGAGTTGGATCAAAGGGCCTGTTTCCATGTTATGACTCTATAACATAAGGAGGCAATTTGTTTTAGAAAACTACTGTTGAATCTCCTGTCAACTTTCCTTTCTCTAAGGAGCGCAACCCAGCTGCTCCAACCTATCCACATAGCTGAAGTCCCTCATCTATGGATCCATTCTTCCCTGTCTTTTGGCACCTTTGCTAATGAGGCTATGATATGTTGCCATCCTGCCAGTGTAAGTCCACTCCAGCCTCTGGGCCCCAGTTATTAGACCTATTATTCCAGTTGAGACTGAAGTAGTGAGTCATAAAGGTTGACCACAACTTGTTGCCTTTCCATTCTTTGCCTCTATTTGTAAAGCCTGGCATCCTGTATGGCTTTTTACTCACTTTCTCAATGTACCTGCCAACTTCAACGATTTGTATAAAGCTACCTCCAGGTCTTCTCCACTCCTGTGATTTGAAATTATTATGTTTTACTTGAGTAATGCCATTTATTGATGTAGGGATAGGTTATAAAATCATAGGGTTATATTTTAATACTCATAGACAAGTGGATTGAGGTCAGAAGTTAAAATTAAAGTTTCATCTCAAACCCAACCCCAAACTGTCTCTAACTTCTTTATTTAAATGCTTTAAAGAGGAGTGAAGCTCTGAAGTTACTTTTTCACATGCTTAACAATTACTTGCTGGATTTCCAAGGAGACATGCCTGCTGATGAGAGGTGAGGACAGCTTTTAAGTGGTTTCCTCCTTTATGACCAACATTTTTCCATTGAAGCATACCTCATACTTTGATCACCCCTTCATTTCCCTGATTTCATATCTTAACCTCCCTGGATTGCTTACTGGGGCCAGGTCTTAGCAATACCCACACTCCATTTACCTCCATTTAGTTGCAATAATGACCAGCAATGGGGATTGGCTGCAGTCTCAACAATGGCCATCTGTGGTGCTGCTGGGAATCGACACTGCCACTCATTTGTTTGGCCAGCAGCAATGGGGGCATGGTTTCCTCCTCAGGTGGGGATGGGAATGTCTGGGCCAGTGAAGTGCTGACAGATTTTAGCTGCTCTTGGATGATAGCGAGATGACCATTACCATGCACTTAATAGACATAAAATCCAGCCCCTGGTCAAAGCTAAATGTTTTTTTCTCGTTGTTTTAAATAACTCACTATTCTTTGTTTCAAAGGAAAGCAGTCTTAAGCTTTCTAACTTCTCATCATAAATGAAGTCCTTCATCCCTAATTACCTCCTAGTAAATCTTGTCTATACCCATTATAAAGCCTTTACATCTTTCCTGAATGTCAGTTCATGACACTCAAAATCTAACCAATGCTTGATAATGTTTTAATGTCCAAAGTCCTCTATAAAATGCAGTTGTGCATGCCTCTAAATTGTTTGTGCTGACATGCACATGTGGTGTTTATCAGAGTAAACTACCTGTGCTGTACCATTCTATGCCTCTTCACACTGACGCTGTTTAGAAAAAGATTGCTGGCATCATAGCATTTCTTTTCTATTCTTTGACTTATAATTCAAGTAACCAGATGCTTTTTAAACAAGTTCATCATCTCAGAATCATACACAAGAAGTCCCTCTGCCATCTTTAAGAGTTTGTATATACATGGAGAATGAAGTCTTTCTGCACATCTACATTTCCCAAAAGGTATGTGTCATTTATTGGATATATACTGAATGTCCATATTAGTTCTCAAAACTGCAACATTTTCCCATGCTGAGTTCCAGTTACCAGGCTTCTAATCTTTTCATCAGTCTGTCACCCTGAATTATATAATTATCCTTAACTTTCACTGCTGGATGTACATTATCAATTTTAAACAATTCTCAATCATTTATACAAAATGAATAATGTAAAGAACACAAAACTGACTCTTGGGTCAAACTACCTCCCTGTCTGAAAAAAAATGTCAATCACCCAGCATCCTTTGCTTTCTGTCACACAGAAGTCTATGCCAACAGGTTACTTTTTACTTAATTAAACTCCCGTGTGCCACTTTTTTGAATTTCTTTGGGAAGTCCATCTATGCAATATCTACTATACTACCTGAAACATTTTTCTCTGGTAACGCAAAGAATGAATTAAGTTAATTAGATACTACCTGCATCGAGGATAGATCAACCAAGTTTAAATTAACAACCATAGAGTACCTGGAAGTTCAAAGTTTGTGGCTCTGAAGTTCTGAAGAAAGGTCACTGGACCTGAAACATTAACTCTGCTTTCTTACACAGGTGCTGCTAGACCTGCTGAGTTTTTCCAGCAATTTCAGTTTTTTGTTTCTGATTTCCAGCATTCACGTTTTTCTTTTTTTTTTGTTCAGAGTTTGTGGGATGTGCTCAAAATGGTTGATTTGTTGTTTTCTATGTCTAACTGGAGAAAATATCAGCTCATCTCAGACAAATGTCAAAACAAACAGTCTCGTTGCACAGCGTCTGTGGAAGATTTGAAAGACTTATTGCCGGGTGTCAGCAACATATGTAAGTAAAGAAATTTTCCTCCTCCCAATGTAGGTAATGCTGCCAAGGACAACATGTAGATTAAGAACAGGACATGATGAAGCATAGATAGTTAGAGTCTTTGGAAGTGGTAGTTTGGAGCTTAGAAGACAAACTGTTGGTCCAGATGTTCTGGATCCAATCAAATAGAAATGAGCGGAACCAGTTGGTGGCAGCTCCTCTAAACAGGACAACAGGTTAGAGGCATTTGAAGAGGTTAGTTTGTTGGTTAATGTGTTGCAATTAGAGCCTCAGACAATGTGAACTGCTAGAACATTCTGAAGGTGTGGTAGGGAGAGAAACAGAAAAGATTTAAACTGAAAAGGTGGGTAGAGATTTAGAAGTGAGAATACATTGAAGGATATTGGAGGGGAACAGGAGATTGGGGGCAGGATTGTAGTTTGAGGACTGTGAAGTTAATATTGAAAAATAAATTTATTCTGATCACTGCCATCTCTTATTTTAATGACAACAGGTTACTAAAAGATTAATCAAATAATAAACTTCAAGAGAATACTTTACTATAAACATTTCTTTCAGGCACTACATACCTTGAGAAGAGAATTTCAGTATCATACTGTACGGTAAAGATAACATTTTCCTTGTTGTCAAAATCAGTTTCTGGATTTTCATTGCTCTCACTGTAAAGTGAAACAGATGTTACTTAAACTTCTACATAGAAATTGAAAAACAAAAATGTAAATTGTTTGAATTATGATAATCAGTATTTACCTTTTAGCAAAGAGTCTCACGTATGTATCTCTCCGTGGTTTGTTGACATTAAAATCAAAGTTGATGTCAAAAGAGATCTATCAACATGAGAAAAAATAAATTGGAATTTAGTATGTTTAACTTTGGGTTTTGCTCTGACTTTACAGCATTTACTTACAGGATAAGACATTTCTAAATAAATATTTCTTCGAGAATAACTGTAAGGGAACATAAGGAATTATTCTAACTTTAGGCTTAGGAAAAATTGTGCACACCCATGTTGAAGTGTAAATTATGTTCTTCATTGAAAATATTTTAAACAAGAGCCCAGTACACTGTTTCACCAAGCTTCTTAGTGATTGGTTACTCACGTTTTCTCATCCTGCTGTTCAGTCTGATACTGTTTTTACTATTGCTGTGAGTCGACTATTTCAAATTCAGATCTTTTTTCTGGAGTTGTTGCAGCACAATATCATTATTTTGAGAAATCTTTCTGAACAACATTGATTTTAATTGTCTTCCTAGTTACTCCAATGTAGTCAGACTCAGTTGGGTTATGAGGACTTATGGAAGTGTGTGCAGCCAGCATTGTAGCAGTGAAGTCTGATCTCCCAGGAGCCATCCATAAGACTATAAGACATAGGAGCAGACCTCATGACTCAGCCCATCAAGTCTCCTCTGCCAATGAGAACATGGCTGATCTGATAATCCTCAACTCCATCTCCCTGCTTTTCCCACGACCCTTGATACTCTTACTGATTAAAAACCTATCTTAGCCTTAAATATACTTAACAGCCCAGCCTCAACTGCCATCTATAGTGGAGAATTCCAGATTGGGAAGAAAGTCCAAAGATGTGCAAGCTAGGTGGATTGGCTAAATTGCCCATAGTGTTCAGGAATGTGTAGATGAGGTGGGTTATAAGGGGATGGGTCTGGGTGGGATGCTCTGAGGGTCAGTGTGGACTTGTCAGGCACAAGGGCCTGTTTCCACACTGTAGGGATTCTATGATTCTATGAAAACAGAGTTAACGTTTTGAGTCCAGTGACTACTCATCAGAACTGAGGACTTGGATTCAAAATTGATTGATCGCTGACAACACCATCATAGTTGGAAGGATATCTAACAATGAGGAATCGAAATACAGAAGGGAGTTAGAGAGCTTGGTGATGTGGTGCAATGAAAACAACCTCTCTCTCAATGTCGGAAAAACTAAGGAACTGATCATTGACTTCAGAAAGAAAGGAGGAGAACTACAACTACATCAATGGAACTGAGGTTGAGAGGGTGGAGAGTGCCAAGTTCCTTGGAGTGACAATAACCAAAAACCTGGGCTTACTGTCCACATAGATGTAACAGTCAAGAAGATACAACACCTCTTCTTCCTCAGGCGGCTCAGTAAAGTTGGCATGTCCATAAGGTTCCTCACCAACTTCTACAGATGCACCATTGAAAGTATATTGTCCGGGTGCATAATGGCCTGGTATGGTAACCGCTCTGTCCAGGGCCGTAAGAAACTACAGAAGGTGGTGTGCACAGCTCAGACCATCACGGAAGCCAACCTTCCATCCATGGACTCCATTTACATGGCTCGCTGATGATGTTGGCAGCCTTTCCGCAGCAATGACTCATTTCATCCTGGTAATGACCCCTTACAATCTCTTCCATCAAGCAGAAGATATAGAAGCCTGATCATACGCACAAGCAGGTTCAGGAACAGCTTCATCCTGGCCATAATTAGACTGATAAATGGACTCTCTAACCTCAAATAATGATTGATCTTGCTAACATAATCTCGCCTAGTGCACGCCCCATGCAATGTAACCTGTACCTCTGTCTAAGTCGTTTTGATCTGTACATCCTTGTTTACTATGATCTGCCTGTACCACTCATAAACAAAGGTTTTCACTGTACTTTGGTACACATGAAAATAAATCAATCAGATTCACTACTTTCTGAGAGAAGAAATTCCTCCTCATCCCGCTCTTAAATGTACGTACCCTTTTTCTGAGATTATGCTCTGTAGTGCTAGACTGACTAACAAGGAGAAACAACCTCTCCTCATATATTCTGTCAGCTTGACAGAATCTTCTAAACCGTAATGATTACAAGCCTAACTTTCTCAACCTCTCCTCATAAGAAAATTGCACTATACATGGGTTCAACCTCAAACATTCTCTGGACTGCCTTCAATGTACCTTTCATTATATAAGGGGACTAAAACTGCTCACAGTTCTCCAGCTGTAGCCTGACCAGTGGCTTATATCGTTTTAACAATATCTATTTTCAGACTACATTTGCTTTGAAATAAAGGCCAACATTCATTCGCCTTCCCTATTACCTTCTGAACTTGGATCGATCTTTTTGAGATTCACACACGACCTCCAAATCCTTTTGTGTAGCTTTCCACAGTTCTTTCTGACAAAGTGCAAATCTCATATTTTCTCACATAATGTTCTGACGGCCAATTTGTGCCCATAGTTCTGAGGGTCATCTGATGATAACTTCATCATCTACATTGCCTCATTTCTCACTTCTTTCAGCTTTTGTGCTGACCCTTCGTCTTTGCTATATGAAAAAGGGATGAATTTGGAGGGGTAATTCTAAAAGCTAGAAAAGGATGACAGGGATTCCAGTGCAGTCTTTCCCCTCTACATAGTCTTACAGTGGCCAGCATGGTGTGCACTACCTTTAGTGTAGACTTAATAATTTTCCCTCTGATATAGAAGTCATAAATTACACACATTTCTATTCCAATCACGTATTATTAATGAATTCTCTGAAATGATTTTAAAAAACCTTAAAAAAAATCACCTTATCTCCCCCTTTTAAAAATGGGCTCCCAATGTCACAGGATACTGAGGTCGAGTTTACTTCACTACAGTCGCTGTTCTCAGCCTGTTAAAATGAAAAGAAAAACATCCATCATTCAGTTTAAATATACGTAATCATCTCTCTTACCCCATTAGCTATACAATAGGATTGTCTACTTATATCAATAATCTGTAGGTCTGTTTAGGTAGAATCATTGTGCAGGAAATGATTGTAGACAGTGCTGCATAATTTTACAAAGTTGGAAAATGTTGGGCCTACACTAATTGGGCTCCCTTGCCATGAAATGAATTCTGTCTGAGCAGATTAGAAGCTTGTCCAGACAGCTAGATCTTAAAAGGATGAAGCTTGCTTGGAAGCATAATTTCAGGTGTGCAGTGGTTCATAATGCTCCAATGTGCAGACTTGACTTGTAATGTCAGCTGGCCATGACAAACAAGTCACAAAAAGCATTAGTGCATATACCACTGATGAAAGGCCCAGGGAGGCTGGAGCCCCAGTGGGAGTAAGATCAAAGGATGGCACTGGGATCGGTGGCGGGGGGGGCAGGTGCGGTGCACAGGGGGGGGGGGGAAGGTCTGCACTGGGAGTGGAAACATGGGATTTGGAAGTGGTCGAGGTGAGGGCAGAGGAGGAGAGGTCTGCACCTGGTGTGGAAGCAGAGAGGGGACTGACTTCCACTGGGAAGGGGAGGGGTTGGGATGGGGATTTAGGCCTGCAATGGGGAGTGGGGAGGGATTTGCTCTGGAAGTAAAACTCCTTTTTTTACTTGGGAGTGACAGGAAGGCTGGTGGGCAATCAGAAGGCCTTGGGGACACGGGAAAAGAGAAGAAGGCTGCTAGGAGGGAGAAGGATTGGGGTGTTGCAAAGAATAGAGATAAAGTACACTCTTTATTTTGCCATACTGGTTGCCGCAGCATCATCTTTAGACAGGCAGCTATTTCCTCTCTCTTGAGAATGACGTGCTTTGTTTCTACTCGTTGTGATACCAACACATTTGGTAACATGCCTTTAGGGTGATGGCATGAAAGTTGACTAATTGTTCATAATGACACAATGGGGGCATGTGGGAAACGCTGTTTCCTTTGATGCTAAAGGGTTTGGAGGTCCACTGTAGGAGGTACCATAAAAAGTTGGCCTGTTTGGTGGATGAACACTCCACTTCAGTAAAAGTCCAAATCTAAGAATGAATGTGTGGGGCATGGGAAAGGTCAATCTTTCCTTGTTGGAGCTGGTCATTTTCTAGCAATTATTACATGAAAGTAATCTGTGGAAGAAGTGTCATCAACTCTGCCCAACTTTTCTCTCCGTCCTCCTCAGAGATTGTTTAATACTGAAGTGGGAAGTACAGAAATCTATTTATATGTTTTTGATTTTAGTCAGGACTCTCTTATTCTGTAAAGTATCATGTAATTCAAATATTCTACTCACTGATGCAAAAAAGATGTTGTCAGAAAAATGAACTATCACTTTAGCATTAAATGCATTTTCCTTCTTGTTCTCTGTCTCTACGTTAATGATCATCTGTTGTTTCTTGCTACTAACAATGTAGTTACTGTTGGTAGAAATAAGACATTTATTAATGTAAGACAAACATTAGATTGACATTCAGTCCAAAATTATAGATTATAGTCAAGTAAAGGCATAAAGAACAGTTACTATTATTGAAAAACTTGCAGTGGATACCTTACATCTCAAAGCACTTACAACCAAAGATATACTTTTGAAGTATAGATACTGTTTGAAAGAAAGAAAAGCAGTAGTGATTTGCACAAAGCAAACTCACAGACAGCAATGTAATAATGATCAGATCATATGTTCACTAATGCTACTTGACGGAATAAATGTTTGGCTTGGATTTCAGGGATAATTCCTCCGCTCTTCTTCAAAATAGTTCCACAAGCTCTCTCAGATTCACCAGAGCAAACAGACTTGGCCTCGGTTTAACATCTCAGCTGAAAGATGGCACTTCCAACAGTGTAGCATTTCGACTGCAGAGTCAGCCTTCATTTTTGTGTTTAAACCCTTAACGGAGAATGTTGTGACTCAAGTGTTGTAAATTGGGTAATGATTGACAAGTCAGTTACTGTTCACTGAACATTTTTTAAAGTTTTAGCAAAGATTGGTAGCTTGGGGTGTGGGTGAGGTTGTTGACTTGCTTGCCGAGCTGGCTTGTTTTTGTTCAGATGTTTCGTCATCAAGCCAGGTAACATCATTAGTGAGGCCTCCGATGAAGCGATGTTGTTCTACTCCGCTTGGAATATACACTGCCTGGTCTGTTATGGTGAGTATTGTCATCTCTGGTTTTGTTCTGTATTGGTTTGTATATGGGGTCCAATTCTATACGTTTTTGATTGCTTTATGGGTTGAGAACCATGCCTCTAGGAAACACAGTGCGTGTCTGTGTTTGGCTTCAGCGACTATAGTTACATTGTCCCAGTTAAACTGATGGCCATCGTTGTCCGAGTGTGCTGATATTAAGAAAAGTTCATTCTGTCGTTTTGCTGCTAGCTGATATTCGTGTATTCTGATGGTTAGTTTCCTTCCTGTCTGTCTAATGTAATGTTTGTGGCAGTCGTTGCATAGTAGTTTATAAACTACATTGATTCTGCATGTTGTGGGAATGGGGTCCTTAATCCTTGAGAGTGCTTGTCATAGGGTGGCTGTGGGCTTATGTGTTACCATGATTCCCAGTGGTCGTTGGAGTCTCGTTGTCAGTTCTGATATCTTCTTGATACAGGGCAGTGTGGCCAATGTGTTAGGGTGTACTGTATCCTCTTGTTGTTATCTATTTAGTAGGCACCTGCAGATAAAGTTGGGGGGATATCTGTTCATAACGAAGATTTTGTATATGTGCACTTCCTCTTTCCTGCGTAGTTCTGGCGTGTTGCTGTGAGTGGTGGCCTGTTTAAACAGTGTCCTAAAACAGCTTTGTTTGTGGACATTGGGGTGGTTGCTGTGGAAGTTGAGGATTTGGTCTGTATGGGTTGCTTTCCTGTATACTGATGTTTGGAATACTCCGTTGGTCATATGTTCAACTCTGATGTCGAGAAACTGAAGCTGATTGTTTTCTTCTTCTCTTGTGAATTTAATGCCCATAAATACTTTGTTGATGAGGTGGTGGGTCTCTTCTAGTTTGTTGCATTTCATAATGACAAATGTGTCGTCTACAAACCGGATCCACAGTTTAGGTTGAATGCGGGGGAGGTGACGAAATGTCTGAACGAAAACAAGCCAGCTCAGCGAGCAAGTCAACAACCTCACTGAATATTTTTACCTTGTATCTCAGTACAGTACAACAAACCTTGTTAGACATCAAGACAATGATATATTTAAAGAAAATATATGCACATTATATTGACGATATTCTGCCTTATTAGTCTTAATTAAAATGATAGTCTATTGAAAAAGAAAGATTCTGAGAAGGAAGAACTATCCATGGCTAACTGAGGAAATTAAGGATAGAATCACATTAAAAGAAAAGGTGTACAATGTTGTGAAGATTAGGGACACTTTAGAAGCCAGCAAATAACAGTGAATGAATGAATGATTTATTATCATGTGCATTTTACAGTGAAATACAATTAAATACAGTGAAAAGCTTTCATTTGTTACCAAAAACTGGCGCCATTTTGACAGTTTAAAAATAAGAGAAAGAGAAAATGAGAAGATACAGCGTAAGGGGAAGTCCATTTATGTACAAGTTCCAAGCAGTTTCAGAACCACCACCACCACCTCACCCGACCCAACTAACGCTGAAGTCGCCAATCCCCAGGCCCCATCTTTTGCAGCTGGGCCAATTCACCTTCGCCATCAACCAATGTAATAGATTAAAAAAAAGATTATGAGAGAAAATTAGAAAAGAAAAATAAACACAGATAGTAAATGCTTTTAAAAGTATAATAAAAGGAAAAGAGTTGTTAAAGTGAGTGTTGGTTCCTTATAGGGTGAGACTGGGGAACTAGCAATAAATAGCAGAGGCTTTGAACAAGTATTTTGTTTCTGCCTTCAAAGGAGAAACCCCAAAAGGAATAGTAGAAAATCTGGATTTTAAACTCTGCTGTCCTACCACATCCAGGCATGACTGGTGTGTACCATCTAAAAGATGCACTGCAAAAATTCACTAAACTCTTTAGGCAGTACCTTCCAAACCCACAACCATTACCATCTAGAATGATAAGGGCAACAGAGATATGGAATACCACTATATGCAAGTTCCCTTCCAAGCCACTTACCATTCTGTCATGGAAATATATCACCATTCCTTCAGCGTCATTGGGTCAAGATCCTAGAACATTTTCCCTAGAATATTTTGGGTCTACTTGCACCAAATAGACTGCAATGGTTCAAGAACGAAGCTCACACCACCTTATCAAGGGTAACTAGGGATGGACAATAAATGCTAGACCAGCAAGTGATGCCCACATCCCATATATGAATTAAAAGAAAAAGATTGTTGTCAGGGCCCATAGCCAGTGAGGTGTTTATTTGTCCACCACCATTCATGCATGGATGTGGCAGAACGGCAGAATTTGATCTGATCTGTTGGTTGTGGGATCATTTAGCCCTGTCTATCACTTGCTGCTTGCATTGTTTAGCATATAAGTAGTCCTGTTAGATAGCTTCACAGGTTGACACCTCAGTTTTTTTATGCCTAGTGTAGCTCCTGGTATTTCCTCCTGCACTCTTCATTGAATCAAGGTTGATTCCCTAGCTTGATTGTAATGGTTGAATGGGGAATGTGCTGGGCCATGAGCTTACAGATTGTGGATGAAGCCAATTTTCTTGTTGTTCTTGGTCCACAGTGCATCATGGGCGTCCAGTTTTCAGTTGCTAGATCTGTTCAAAATTAATCCCACTTAACACAGTTTTCCCCTCCTGATTACTCTGTCACCTGTTGCTGCAGATTCAATTCAGGACTTGACCAACTCAGTCATGGTGCTACTAAGCTACTTTTGGTGATGGACATTGGAGTCCTCCATCCAGAATCCATTCCGTGCCCTGGCCAATTCACCGCATCTTCCAATTGGTATTCAAAATTGAGGAGCACTGATTCATCATCTGGGGATGGGCGGCTGGCTGTGGAAGAGCTAATCAGCAGGTTTTTTTGCCTGTATTTAAACAAATGCCATGAGTCCTCGTGGGGTCTGCAGTCAACGTTGAGTTCTTCCAAAGCAACTGCCTCCTACCAAAAGATGGCAAAGGTACTTCCTGGAGCATTAAGGCGAGGAATGATTTTGTGAATAAAATATGGTTCTGTGAACATGACTAGGTAAAGCTTGTGTTTTACTTGTCTCTGGCAGTAAGTTGGAGAGTGCTCTGCCATATTTGGCATAAATCCCCAGATGTTCATAACTAGAAATTTGTAGGTTGTTGTCATTTTTGGTCCTGGTTAACGTTGAGTGTCCATCAGTTTCATTCCTTAGATTTTGTAACTGTTAGTTGTAGGCCAGACAAGTTAAGAATATTTCTTCCCTAAAGTACATCAGTGAAGTAGGTAGGCGTTTTATAACATTTATTGAATGATTTGATGAACTTTTTCTAAGCTGCAGTTATATTAATTGAATGCAAGTTTCACCACCTGCCCAGAAGCCCCCAATGCACTAGTCTAGTTGCTCGGATTTCTAGTCTTGTGGTAATATCATGGTCTCTTCTCTTCTGAGCATTTCTTTGCTTCTGGAAGGCTAGAAGCAGTAATTTAAGATATCAACAGAACATTTCCACATCACTTTCTTCCATCATCACTGATTGGTGAGTGCTCAGAAGGAATCGATTGAATATTGAACTGGGTCAAACAAAAGTTGATTAGATCCCATCAGTAAAATTCATTATGTTTGTTAGGACATCAGCTCAGGGATCAATGCTGGGAATCATTTGGTGTTGCTTCAGATATGTTTCAGTGCAAATTATTGTGTTATTGCATGCCAATCAGACCTGGAGAAATGAAGGGCAACTGTGTTTATACATCCTAGGTTAACTAAGAGATGTTCTGTACTTTGGGAGTGGGGGCCATGCAATATCCAAGTGCAAATTAAAATATTCACAGTGCCTTTCAGATACATACACCTAACTAACATCCCTGAAATGTTTGGAATGCTTATTACTGAAAAATTAAACAGCAATAGAGGAACCTCAATATGATGAATGAAAAAGAACATGTTGACTCTCCTAATCAAAATTAAGATATTTTTTCTCCAGCAAATGCCCTATTAAATGAAGCAGGGAAGTTGGTCATCTAATGAAATACAGATATGTTTTCCCACCTGTTGTTTGGAATATTTGAGTGAACCTTAATAGCGAGATCTGTTATGCATTCTTCATCATCACCACAGTCTTTGGAGAATGGAATCTGCATAAATGGTTTTAATGGAAAATTGAGTTGCATGCATAAATAATTCAATATTGAATGGAATCTAAGGTTTCTCCATGTACTTACAAAAAACTCCTTGGACCTTGTTGTATGGGCATCAAGACTAGGACCAACTTCAGTGTTTTGTGCAGCATAGTCTAAACGTAGACTAAGTGGGCTCACAATATCAGTTTTTTCCTTGTTGGGAAAGAGTTACAACACAAGTTAGCTAAAACGGAACATCTGACATTATATGGAACATGCACTGAAATTGTAGAAATATAATATGTATGATGTAAACTTAATTGTAATTGCTAACAAAAATATATTTTTGCAATAAAGTTGTTTTGTAATAATTCTCCATTTTATTTAACCCTCATATAAGCCAATAAGCTAGGGATCTTGTGGTGCAGTGATTGTGTTCCTACCTCCCTGAGCCAAGAGGCCCAAGTTTAAGTCCCATATGTTTCAGACTTTTGTCATAATATTGCTGAATAAGTTGATTAGAAAGTATCTGTAATCGATCAATCATAGGTGGTCCCCAAATTATGAACCTCTGACTTACGAATGAGATCCCATGTTAATATCAATTATTTTAAAGATCCTACATACAAACTTTTGCATATACTTATGAACAGCTACTTTGTATTGTACTGCTTTGTGTTCTGACTTTGCATACAAACTGACTTACTAAAATATTCAAGAGTTCAAAATGAAGAGACTGACATATTCTCCAATCTATAACAGATAATTTAGCATCATACTTACATTGACATAAAAGCCAAATGTGTTGCATTTTTGCACTTTATCCACTGAAATGTCATTTTGTATTTCCCGCATATGATTTGTTTGAAACAATGCTCGTGAAGTAGCATGAGATGACTTGAGACTCATATCAAATGTTGCATTGTACCTAATATCTGTAAAGTTGGAAAAAAAAAATTAATAAAAGGCATTTCTCTGCAGACTAACCATGATAAATTAAAATAACTGTTGTTTACAACATAGAACAGCACAGCACAGGAACAGCCCTTTCGGCCCACCATTTCTGTGCTGACCATGATGCCATTCTAAATTAATCTCGTTTGTGTGCACATGGTCTGTAACCGTCAATGCTCTGCCTGTTCATGTGCCTGTCTAAATGCCCCTTAACAGCTTCTACCAACTCCCCTGTTAGAGCATTCCAAGCACCTACAGCCCTCTGTGTAAAAAAAACTAGCCTCACACATCTCCTTTAATCTTTCTCCCTCTCATTTTAAACTTCTGCTTCCTAGTATTTGACATTTTCACCCTGGGAAAAAGACTCTGACTATCTACCCTGTTCATGCTTTTCATGCTGCACTATTTTAAACTGTTTGAGTGGCACTAGCAAATCTCTTTGCGAGGACATTGGTACCCCTCAGTTGAGGTGCAAACTGTCCTTCTTTTACAGGTCTCTCCTGCCCTGGAAGGGATCTCAATGATCCAGCTTGTCTGAAGCCCTCCCTCCTACATGAGCTCCTTAGCCGTGTATTAAACAGTATTATCTTCCATTTTCTGGCACACTATTTCTGCCTTTTGATAGAACATAGAACATAGAACAATACAGCACAGAACAGGCCCTTCAGCCCACGATGTTGTGCCGAACTTTTACCCTAATCCTAAGGTCTATCTAACCTCTACCCCTACCTTATACCATCATCCATATGCCTATCTAATAGCCGCTCAAATGCCCCTAATGAGGCCGACTCCACTACCCTCTTCGGCAATGCATTCCATGTCCTGACCTCTCTCTGAGTAAAGAACCTACCTCTGACGTCTCCCCTATATCTACCTCCACTCACTTTAGATATCCCCTTTTGTTCTTCCTTCTTTTCATCCAACATTTCTTGCTTTAAAAGTAAACTTCTTCCAATTTAGACAAGGTCATTGACCTTAAACATTGGTGGAATCTTCCCAACTACTGAACGATGTGGGCATTCATGAAAAAGTTGGGAAAATAAGGTAGAATTGACAGGAAGGAGATCCTGATGTCAAGAGAATAAAAGTTCAATTCTCTAACCAATATGAGAATCTTGCTAATAAATGGTGAGATGCTTATTTGCAACTATTTTCATGGATTGACATGTCATTATTAATCTTGCTTCATTTAAATGTAGTTTCCAATTCTCCCACTACTAGATGGTGACAATTCTTGACATGAAAGTCCGAGCAGTAACCTGGCTACTCCAGTACTCTGTGCACTTCCCTGGGCCTCCATCTTGGACAACACTCACCAAAATCCAAAGGCTTCTCACCATGGGCAGATATACACTCCCTTCTACCAGATTTACCATACCTTCCTGGCACCTTTCCAAACTGCTTACTGTTCTGAGGAAGGGTCACTGGGCCGGAAAACGTTAACTCTGATTTTTTTTTCACAGATGCTGCCAGACCTGCTGAGCTTTTCCAGAAACTTCTGTTTTTGTTCCTGCTCACAATACAGTTGTTCCCTGCAATACTGCTTTTTGGGATACACCAACACGTAGAATATGGAATAGTACAGGCCCTTTGGCCCATGATGTTGTGTGCCAACCTATTATCCTACTAAGATCAAACTAGCCTGCATACCCTACATTATACTATCATCCAGGTGCCTATCCTAGAGTCGCTTAAAAGTCTCTAAAGTATCTGACTGTACCATTACTGTCGGCAGCGCATTCCATACGCCCACCACACTCTGTGTAAAGAATATGTCAATGGAATACTGTTTCCAGGATATTGTGGCAGGAAGAGTAAAGTTGCTTAATGTTATTTAAATGGGGACAAACTGTGAAAGCTACAGCACAGAGGGATTTGGGGTCCATGTCCATGACTCTCAAAAAAACTAGAATTCAAGTTCAGTGAATAATGGGGAAGGCAAATGGAATGTTGGCCTTTATTTCAAAGGGAATGGAGTATAAAAAGTAGGGAGGTTTTGCTAAACCTATAAAAGGCACTAGTCAGCCTACACCTGGAATATTATGAACAGTCTTAGGCCTCTTATCCAAGGAAAGATATACTAGTATTGGAGGGAGTCCAGAGAAGGTTCACTAGGCTGATCCCTGGTATGAGAGGTTGAGTAGTTTGGGCTTGTGCTCATTGGGACATAGAAGAATGAGAGATGACCTTGTTCAAACATAGAACATTCTTAGGGGACTTGACCAGTTAGATGCTGAAAGGTTGTTTCCCCTTGTAGGTGTGTCTACAAAGAACAAAGAACAAAGAAAATTACAGCACAGGAACAGGCCCTTCAACCCTCCAAGCCTGCACCGATCCAGATCCTCTATCTAAACCTGTCACCTATTTTCCAAGGATCTGTATCCCTCTGCTCCCTGCCCATTCATGTATCTGTCTAGATACATCTTAAATGATGCTATCGTGCCTGCCTCTACCACCTCCGCTGGCAACGCATTCCAGGCACCCACCACCCTCTGCGTAAAGAACTTTCCACGCATATCTCCTTAAACTTTTCCCCTCTCACCTTGAAATCGTGACCCCTAGTAATTGAGTCCCCAACTCTGGGAAAAAGCTTCTTGCTATCCATCCTGTCTATACCTCTAGTGATTTTGTAGACCTCAATCAGGTCCCCGCTCAACCTCCGTCTTTCTAATGTAAATAATCCTAATCTACTCAACCTCTCTTCATAGCTCGTGCCTTCCATACTAGGCAACATCCTGGTCAACCTCCTGGTCAACCTCCTCTGCGTCCTCTCCAAAGCATCCACATCCTTTTGGTAATGTGGCGACCAGAACTGTACGTAGTATTCCAAATGTGGTCAAACCAAAGTCCTATACAACTACAACATGACCTGCCAACTCTTGTACTCAATACCCCGTCCGATGAATGAAAGCATGCCGTATGCCTTCTTGACCACTCTATCGACCTGTGTTGCCACCTTCAGGGTACAATGGACCTGAACACCCAGATCTTTCTGTGCATCAATTTTCCCCAGGGCTTTTCCATTTACCACATAGTTCGCTCTTGAATTGGATCTTCCAAAATGCATTACCTCGCATTTGCCTGGATTGAACTCTATCTGCCATTTCTCCGCCCAACTCTCCAATCTATCTATATTCTGCTGCATTCTCTGACAGTCCCCTTCAGTATCTGCTACTCCACCAATCTTAGTGTCATCTGCAAACTTGCTAATCAGACCTCTATACCTTCCTCCAGATCATTTATGTATATCACAAACAACAGTGGTCCCAACACTGATCCCTGTGGAACACCACTGGTCACAGTTCTCCATTTTGAGAAACTCCCTTCCACTACAACTCTCTGTCTTCTGTTGCCCAGCCAGTTCTCTATTCATCTAGCTAGTACACCCTGGACGCCATGCGACTTCACTTTCTCCATCAGCCTACCATGGGGAACCTTATCAAATATCTTACTGAAGTCCATATATGTGACATCTACAGCCCTTCCCTCATCTATCAACTTTGTCACTTCCTCAAAGAATTCTATCAAGTTGGTAAGACATGATAGAACTATTCCCAGAAGGCATAATTTTGGAGTAAGGAATCAACCATTTAAGAAAGCGATAATTTCTACTTTCAGAGTTTCGTGAATTTGTGGAATTCTTTACCACAGAGAGCTATAGAGGCTGCTTTACTAAGTATATTTAAGGCTGCAATAGATTTTTAATCAGTAAGGGAATCAAGGGTTAAGGCAATAAGGAACAAAAGTGAAGCTGAGGATTTCCAGATCATTAAATGATATCATTAAATGGCATAATCAACTTAATTGGCTCAATGGCTTGCTTCTGCTCCCATGTCTTTTGGTCTTTGGAGTCACTTTTAAGCACAAGCCCAGGATAAGGTGAGTCTGAAGAACCTAAGATTGGATTGTGTAACATCTGAGCCTTTCAAGCATCCAAATGAAATTACTGTTTTGGAGCTCAGTGTGATGACTCCCAAAAGAACAATCCTGAGTCTTTAATCGTACATCCATATTGATTGTCAATTCTTGCTAAACTAGGAATTGTAAATGAGCAATAATAAAATAAAATCAAGAGATAAAATAAACCCTAAAAATCCAACAGGATTGTCCCAGGCTTCAATCCTATCTCACACAGTTAACAAGTAGAAACCTATGAAAAATCATTGAATAGTAAGCTGGAGTTATGATAAGACACTGGGATGATGCAAATAGAACTTTAGGATTATTTTATTTTTGCCGTCAATATAAATATGGTAATATAAAATAACTGATAATGCAACAGTATATGACAGTTTATCTAATAAAAGAAGAACAACATTTAATGATTCTTACTGATTGATGACACAGAGTTTTCCGGTTTGATTGTTGCTTGGAAACATATTTTGACTTTGCCACAAGTTAGCCAGTTTCCATTGATCTGACAAGTTTTGTTTAAAATGGACAATTTATTTGGCTCAAATATCACTGTAAACTTTACATTTGCAATGCTTCGTGACCTGAAAAAGAAGTAAAAACTCTGTTATGCAAAATAAAAACCGAAAAAACTGCGGATGCTGTAAATCAGGAACAAAAACAGAAGTTGCTGGAAAAGCTCAGCAGATCTGGCAGCATTTGTGAAGAAAAAGATCAGAGTTAACACTTTGGGTCCGGTGACCCTTCCTCAGAACTCCTGAGGTTCTGAGGAAGGGTCACTGGACCTGAAACGTTAACTGACATTTTCTTCACAGATGCTGCCAGACCTGCTGAGATTTTCCAGCAACTTCTGTTTTTGAAAACTTATGCATTGTGTTTGTCAATATTTAATTGGCAATACAGCATCAATTAAATTACAAAATGCAGACTGGGTGACCACCGACATTCTGTCCACAAAAATGACCCCAGTTGTTCCAGTTGTTCGCACACTACCATGTTCCCTGGCCAACATTTCTGTTGCAGGCCTGCTGCAGTGTTCCAGCAAGCCTCAGTGCAAGCTTGAAGAACAGCATCTCATTTTTCGCTTGGGGACCCAGAAACCTCTGGGACTCAACATCGTGTTCTTTCTTAATTAATTTATGGGATGAGAATGTCACTGAGTAAGCCAGCATCGCTAATTGCCCAGACGGCTAAGAGTCAATCACATTGCTGTGGGTCACATGTAGGCCAGACCAAGTAATAATGGCAATTTCCCTGAAAGACATTAGTGAACCAGATCGGCTTTTCCTGACAATCGACAATGGCTTCATGGTCATCCTGATGTGGACATGCCGGTGTTGGACTGAACATAGAACACAGAACAGTACAGCACAAGAATGGGCCCTTCAGCCCATGACATTGTGCCAAATATGACACCAAATGACATGAATCCCTTCCTCCTGCTCTTGGTCCACATCCCTCCATTCCTTGCATATTCATGTGCGTATGTAAAAGTTCCTTAAATTTCCTTATCGTATCTGCCTCCACCACCATCCCTGGCAGTGCGTTCCAGACTCCTACCACCCTGTGTAAAAAACTTGCCCCTCACGTCTCCTTTGAACTTTCCTCCTCTCATCTTAAGTAAATGGCCCCTCGTATTGGACATTTCAACTCTAGGAAAAAGATTCTGACCATCAACCCTAACTATACATCTCATAATTTTATAGACTTCTAATAAGCCTCCCCTCAGCGTCCACTCCTCAAGAGCAAACAGCGAGTTTTTCTCACCTCTACTTATACTCATACCCTCTAATCCAAGCAGTAGCTGGCAAACATCTTCTGCACATTCTCCAAACCCTTCATATCCTTGTAATGTAGCAACCAGAATTGAATGCAATACACCAAGTCTGGCCTAAACAAAGTCTTATAAAACTGCAACATGACATCCCAACTCTTGTACTCAGCTCCCCAACCAATAAAGGCAAGTATGCTATATTCCTTCTTTATCACCCTGTCTACTTGCATGGTCACTTTCAGGGAGCTATGGACTTGAACCCCAAGATCCTTCTGTACATTGATGCTGTTCATAATCCTTCCATTAACTATATACATTTCCTTAATATTTGATCTTCCAAAGTGCAGCATCTCACACTTAGCCGGATTAAACTCCATCCGCCATTTCTTCATTCATACCTGCAACTGACCTATATCCTGCTTTGACAACCTTCTACACTATCCACAACTCCACCGATTTTTGTATCATCTGCAAACTTTCTAACCCACCCATCTACACTTTCATCTCAATCATTTATAAATATCACAAACAGCAGGGGTCCCACTATGTATCCCTGCGGAACACCACTAGTCACAGACCTCCAGCCTGAAAAACACCCTTCCACCATTACCCTCTGTCCTCTATGTGCAAGTCAATTCTGAATCCAAGCGGCCAAGTCACTATGGATCCCATGCATCTTAATCATCTGGATGGGCCTACCATGAGGGACTTTATCAAAAGTTTTACTAAAATCCATGTAAATAACATCCACTGTTCTACTCTCATTAATCACCTTCGTCACCACCTTGAAAATCCCCGTCAATTAAATTGGTAAGACATGACCTGCCCTGCACAAAGCTGTGCTTTCTGTCCCTAATTAAGCCATGCTTTCCCAAATGTGCATAAATCCTATCCCTAAGAATGCTATCCAATCGCTTCCCAACCACCAATGAGAGACTCACTGGTCAATAGTTTCCTGGATTATCCCTATTTCCTTTCTTGAACAGAGGAACAACATTAGCTATTCACCAGTCCTCTGGGACCTCTCCAGTGGCTAGCGAGGATACAAAGAATCTTGGTCAAGGCCCCAGAAATCTCCTCTCTTGCCTCTCTCAATAACCCGGGGTAGACATCGTAGGGTCCTCTGGACTTATCCACCTCAATGCTCTTCAAGGGATCCAACACCACTTCTTTCTTGATCTCAAAATGGCCTAGGATATTAGCATGCTACACACAAATCTCACTATCCTCCATATCCTTCTCCTGGATGAATACTGATGCAAAGTACTCATTTAGGATCTCACCCACATCCTCTGCCTCCAAGCATATGTTTCCTCCTTTATCCTCAAGTGGTCCTATCCTCTCCCAAGTTATCTTCTTGTTTTTAATGTATCTATGGAATGCCTTAGGATTCTCTTTAACCCTAATTGTCAAGGTCATTTTATGGACTGCGGTGGACAAAGTCAGAAGTCACATGACACCAGGTTATGGTCCAACAGATTTTTTTAAATCAAAGCTTTTGGAGCGCTGCTCCTTCGACAGGTGAAGTGATTTCAGATAAACCTGTTGGACTATAACTTGGTGTTGTGTGACTTCTGATTGATGGTCATCATTAGAGTCTTAACTCTAGATTTTTTTTTATTGAATTCAAATTCCGCCAGCTGCTGTGGCAGAATTCGAACCCAGTTCCTCGGGATATTATCTGAGTCTCTAGAATAACAGTCCAGTGATAATATTGCTTGGCCATTGCTTCCCCTAACTTTAATAAGTTCTCTAACTTTCGATGTTGATTCCATCCTCCCATGTGTTTACTCACTCCACACCCGGTCCTGTTAAGACACGGTTAGAGACAAAAAAAAATTGCAGTTGCTGGAATCCAAGGTAGACAAACAGGAGGCTGGAAGAACACAGCAGGCCAGGCAGCATCTGGAAGGAAGGAGCAGTCAATGTTTCGGGTATTAATGTCTTCAGGAAAGAAGAGTAATACCCAAAACGTTGACTTCTCCTTTCCTCCAGATGCTGCCTGGCCTGCTGTGTTCTTCCAGCCTCCTGTTTGTGTACCCTGTTAAGACATGGGTTGCTTTTATCAGTCACCCATTCTCATGTACTCCTGGACCCATTATCACATGGTATGGGTTACATTCAGTACAGCTCATTCATTTTCTCCTGCCCTTAGCTCTTATTATCATTTATTCAGTTTTTCTTCTGTCCTGGCCAGCTATCCATAACTTCCTTGTTTACCTACCCCTTTCATATCTCTCTCTCTCTCTGGGTTCCGTCTCAACCTACATTTTCCCAGCTGCTGACAGTTCTGATAAAGAGACACTGGACTCTAGGTGTTAACTTTTCTTTCTTCTTATAGATGCTTGTTCAGATCTCCAGCATTTGCAGTTCTTTGTTTTATTATATCAAATAACTCAGAGCAAGTGCAATTGCAGAATGTGGATAATCTTAGCATAATGGGTTTTTCTCAGAATCTGAACTTACACCAAAATATTAAATCAAACACCTAAGATAATCATAAACAGCAACAACAGTTTATGATGACAAAACAAAAATGTGATTTTGTCCCTTATCTGTGTGCAAATTTATTTTCTGATTATGGACAGCATTGATAAAGCCGGAGTTACTGTTCATTCCAAATTATTCCTTATTCCCCTTGAAAAGCTGAAGTCCTTGTAATACTGTTGTGACCACAATGGTACTATGTGAGAAACTTTAGGACATTGATTCATCAGTTGTGAAGGAATTATTCCTTACATCCATGGTATAGAGGTATGTGACATGATGGGAAATAGGAGATCGTTTCCCATGACTTTGTTCCTCATGTACATCTCTCGATGCAGGACAATGATGCGTTATTTCAGTCACCTTAGTCAGTTGAGACTGTGCACCTAGTAAACCTAATTTTGCCTTCACAAGGACTGTATGATGATTGCTTCCATCAATGCTATTGCAGATAGATATGCCCAGGACAGTTTGGTTGGTGAGAAGGAGCTCAAGTACATAACTTCCTTGTGTTGGTTCTTCCACTATTTTCTGTTGGCTTGTTCCAGCAGTTATGTCCTTTAGGACCTGGCCAGCTTAATCGGCAGGTACTACTGACATACACAACAACAACAACAATTACTGACATATCTTTGGTGACTGATATCTATGTCCACTGACTAGATTATATTATGCACCACACCCATGCATACCTTGCAGCTTTCTCCAAGTGATGTTTAACAGTAAGGTTTTGCTGAAGTTTGCTGGAGCATAGAGTAAATAGGTAGAAGTGGTAAATGATAATGTGATGGCTGTTTCCTTGACCTGGTTTAAATCCAGTTCCACATGAACCTAACCACTGTGCACCTATATCTGTTGGACAAATCCTGCAACTATGACAGGTCACACTTGGGATGTTTATGAGTCAGGATGGGATGTTGAAATCTGTAATGCTTTAAATGGCAGGGTATGGTTAATGGATCCATGAGAGTAGTTCTGCAGCTTGGAACTGTATCAAAGCCAGACGAATAGGAGATTTGTCTGGTGTTGTGATGTTCATAAAGTGCTGTATTGTAGTCAGTCATCGAGCCCCTTAGATTTTATGAAACTTAACTCTGCAGGGTTAAATGGGCTGAAATTTCTTCGCAAGGTCACAGAGATGAGCCATTGCTCAGGGGTTTACAAGCACTCCGCCAGGGGGATTTCCAGGGCTGTGAAGGGTGGTACAGTAAAACTTCTAGATGCCTCGACAGCTCAGTTCTCTGATGAAAGCTGCCACTGTGGCATTTTACCAGCTGCAAATACACATACACAGAAGACAGCAAGAACTGCAGATGCTGGAGTCAGAGACAATACAGTGTGGAGCCGAAGAAACACAGGAGGCCAGGCAGCATCAGAGTGGCGGGAGAGTCGATGTTTCAGGTCCAGACCTTTCATCAGGACTGAGGAGGGGGAAGGGAGCTGGGAAATAAATAGAGGGAAGAGGGGTGGGGGTTGGGGAAGGTAGGTGGGATGATGATAGGTGGATACAGGTAGGGGTAGTGGGGATTGGTCAGTGGGAAGGGTGGGGCGGATAAGTGGGGAAGAACATGGACAGGTTGTGTCAGGTCAAGAAGGTGGGGATGAGAGGGAGGGTTGGACATGCGACGAGGCCGGGAGTGGGGGAATTTTGAAACTGGTGAATTCTATATTCAGGCCATCAGGCTGTAGGCTCCCGAGGCAGAATATAAGGTGTTGTTCCTCCAGTTTGTATGTGGCGTCACTGTGGCACTGGAGGAGGCCGAGGATGGACATGTCACCCAGGGAGTGGGAAAGTGCGTTAAAGTGGTTAGTAACCGGAAGGTGTTGTTGATTATAGCATACAGAGCGTAGATGCTCCATAAATCTGTCACCGAGTCTATGTTTTGTCTCACCAGTGTAGAGGAGGCCGCATTGGGAGCAATGGATACAGTAGACCAGGTTGGAGGATGTACAGGTAAACCCCTGTCAGATATAGAAAGTTTGTTTTGGGCCTCGGATGGAGGTGAGGGGAAGTTGGAGGGGCAGGTGTAGAACCTCCTGCAGTTGCAGGGAAAAGTGCCAGGTGTGGTGGGGTTGCTGGGGAGTGTGGAGCAGATGAAGGAGTCGTGGAGTGAGCATTCCCTACAAAAGGCAGATAGGGGTCGAGAGGGAAATATCTCTTTGGTGGTGTGGTCGGATTGTAAGTGGCAGAAGTGGCAGAGGATGATGTGCTGGATATGGAGGTTGGTGGAGTGATATGTGAGGACCAGGGGAGTTCTGTCTTTATTTTTGTTGGGGGGAGGGGGTTTGAAGGGAGAGGTGTGGGAAATGCAAGAGATGTGGTTAAGGGCATTTTCAATCAACGGAGGGGGTATGTTGCAGTCCTTGAAGTAGGAGGACATTTGGGATGCTAGTGGAACACCAAATCAGAAAAGAGCAAGGAATTTCTTATCAACCTTCTACTATCCGAGTAGTCATATGATATGATAATTGTGGAGTTTTGGAATAATCACAGAAATCAATTTTTATCAATTAGTAAGTATTGGACTTAGGTATCTGTTGAGGAAAACTCAGTGACGGTGAGCTTGAGGCGTCACAGGTCCAAGGTCAATATTTTCCTCCCAAACGTATACACATACACTTATCCTGCATGGTGTCATATTACTGACTGTCTTTGTTTTTCAGAGGACTATCTGTCATTTGAATTTGAATCAGTCAGTATCAAATACTTGAACTACAGGGAAGTTGATCCATAGAGTGACCACTAGCACATTGATCCCTGCTTGCTGTCATAAAGTGAGTTGATGAAAACTCCTCAAGTCAGGTTTTTCTGGAAGTCCTGTTGAAATTACTGGCAGGGCATTTCTTTTACATCTTTCAGTTGGTTTCCTTACAGACCTTTAACAGTCAGACCAGAATTGAAGCCAGATGTTTTTGGAGTAAAATTAGAAAACACTTCTTTAATGAAAGAATGTTACAATTTGCAACATTTCAAAATGGAACAACAAATGAAAACAATTGTTCTGTGCATTGATAGATTTTGTTATCCAAATATATTAATGGATATAGGGTAATCAGTTAGGTCATAGATCAAAAAGATCTCATTAAATGGTGGAACAGGGTCACACAGCTTCTATTCCTATGTTCCTACCTTTCAATGGTCAATAGATTGCTATGTATTAGGAGAGGAAGCCTATGGCATAAGGCTGCAAGTGCAGAGTGGAGAGAAAGAAGTTAGAGAGGAAATCTTGTGAGAGTTCAAAGTTAGACTCTTCAAATGTAAATTGAGGAGTGGGGATTGTGAAGGAGAATGTTGGAGGAGATCTGTAAAGAGAAAACATGTCCAATTTACATAATTGCTCCTCTTAAATCAATTCATTTCAGTTAAGTAAATACCACTGCTGCAGGGCTTGCAAACATCAGACACCACACTCTATGACCACAATTACTCATGGAATATGCTTCTACAAGTAACATAACAGAAATTGAAAAGAGTCATCAAGTCACCTACCAGAGTTGCACAACATTTCCAATGGATCCAATTGACAAGTCTGTGATGGTATCACCATTCAAGTCCTTCTGCCCATCAATAGAGAATCCAAAATATTTCAATTGAGGGCTGATCTTTGAGGCTTGTATTTTCTAGAACCCAGATCAAAATATGTTTAGAATGTTTATTCTGAGACAGAACAGCCAGCTGGAAATAATGGATGCAATTTCATAGAATCATAGAAAGTTTATGGCACAGAAAAAGGTCACTGGCCCATCATATTTGTACCCTCTGAACAATGAGCCACCTAGTCAAATCCCACTTTCATTCATTTGCTCCGTGGCTTTGCAGCTTGTAGCACTTGAAATCCATATCCAGAAAACTTTTAAATGAATTATGTGTTTCTACCTCTATTATCCTTTTTGCAGTGAGTTATAGACCCCAACTCACCCCCCGCTGGATGAAAAAGGTTTTCCTCATCTCCCTTCTTATTTTTCTGCCACTAATTTTAATTCAATTCCCCTCCCAACCCTTACCCCAGTCCCTGATGTATCTGCTAAGTCAAATAGGCCCTTCTCATCCATTCTATCCAAGCACTCCACAATCTTGCATATCTTAATCAAATCTCCCCTAAGCACCCTCTGTTCCAAGGTGTAGAACTCGAATCCATCTAATCTGTCTTCATTGTTGCAAGTTTTCCTGACCTGGTAACATCCTTGTAGAACTCCTTTATACCCACTATGGTACACTTACATTTTTTCTGTAATGACATGACCAGAACTGCATATAGCACTGAAGATGTAAGATAACTAATGATTTATACAGATCAGAGTAACCTCCCTTCTCTTATATTCTGCATTTGGTTAATAAAGGCAAGGATTCCTTGTGCTTTCTTTTCTAACTTACTGACCCAACCATCTACCTTCAGGGAACTGTGGACATTGACTCCAAGGTCTCTTAGTTGCTTTACACCTTGTCACATTCTAACATTAACTGTATATTACTTTTCCTTGTTTTACCTCCCCACATGTATCACTTGGCACTTTTCTAGGTGAATTCCATTTACCAATCTTCAGCAAACCTGAATTCCATTGATGTCTTCCTGTTGTCTACAGCTATCCTCCTCATGATCAAACATGTGGCCAATTTTTGTGTCATCTGCAAGCTATCCATGTACTGTGCCACTCTAACCTAGAGAGGAGTATGTCTTCCTCACACATTTAGAGACTTTTTTCACCTCTAACATAAACACATACTTGCACAATTTGAGAGAAAAAAAATAGAAATCATGAAATTTAGCCAGATATTTCACAATACAGATGAATATGTCAAAATGGAATAAACTTTGATGTAAGAGAACATATGATTACATAGAGTCTTTCATGACATCAGGATCACTTGAAAGAATTTATGGCAAATCATCATTTTTAAATTGTAATCATGATTGCAATGTAAGAGTCACGACAGACAATTTCTGCACACCTAAGTCCCACAAGCAACAATAGAATTATGACAAGTTAACCTGTTTTTGAGTTTGTTGCAAGGTAAATATTATCCAGAACACCATTCCTTCAAAATAGTGTCATGGGAGGGCAGACATAGGGGGCCTTGTTTTAATGCCTCAGACAAAATAAATTGGCACTACTAACATTGTAGTGGTACTGAAGGAGTGCTACAGTGTGTCAGATAAGAATTCTGCGCTCAAGTTCTTGGAATGTAACATGGAATCCAAAACTTTCACATCAGAGGTGAGAATACTACTAACTAAATCTGGATTATCAACAGGTTAAAACACTCCTCTTACCTTATCCCTGTCAGGCTATGGTGATAATCCCTGCAACATCCAATAAATCAATAAAATTCCTTCAGGAACACAGCCAAACTTCTTGCAAAATTAACAGTAAGTCAAAAGCTCCTCACTTGTAAATTGGATGTGTGGCCTTTTAAGTAACATAGAAGGTAGGGGAAAGGCAGTTGGGTGTAAAAATGAGAGCACTAACTGAATCCATGTGATTAAAATTGATAGGATGCATAGTGAATCAGCCTAAGATGCTGTTTGACCTCATGATCTGCCCATTTTGTCACGTCCTTACAGAAATGGCCCATGGGCCGAGGATTGGCAGATTGAGTTTAATTTAGATAAATGTGAGGTGCTGCATTTTGGAAAGGCAAAGCAGGGCAGGACATATATATTTAATGGGAAGGTCCTGGGGAGAATTGCTGAACAAAGAGACCTTGGAGTGCATGGTTCATAGTTCCTTGAAAGTGGACTCGCAGGTAGACAGGGTGATGGTATGTTTGCCTTTATTGGTCAGTGCATTGAGTATAGGAGCTGGGAGATCATGTTGTGGCTGTACAGGACATTGATTAGGCCACTTTTGGAATATTGCGTGCTATAGGAAGGATGTTGTGAAACTTGAAAGGTTCAGAAAAGATTTATAAGGATGTTTCTGGGATTGGAGAGTTTGAGCTATAGGGAGAGGCTGAATAGGCTGGGCTCTTTTTCCTGGAGCGTCTGAGGCTGAGGGGTGACCTTATACATGTTTATAAAATCATGAGGGGCATTGATAGGGTGAATAGCCAAGGTCTTTTCCCGGGGATGAGAGAGTGAAAAACTAGAGGGCATAGGTTTAATGTGAGAGGGGCAAGATTTAAAAAGGGGCTGAGGGGCATTTTTTTCATGCAGAGGATGGTGCGAGCTGCCAGAGGAAGTGATGGAGGCTGCTACAATTACAACATTTAAAAGGCATCTGGATGGTTATATGAATAGGATGCGTTTAGAGGGATATGGGCCAAACGCTGGCAAATGGGATTGGATTAATTTAGGATGTCTGGGCAGCATGGACGAGTTGGACTGAAGGCTCTGTTTCCATGCCATACAGCTCTATGAGTCTATGACTCTAAATGGTGCATGGCTCAGGCCATGCAATGAACCTGCAACGTTCAATCCCTCCAGCTTCTGTAGCATTGGCTCCTGAATGTAATAGAGCCAAACTTTGGTGCCATGATCTCAGTTTAAATCAGAGGTATCAGCTCTTACTTGTGTATGTTTTGATAGGATTGATGTTTGGTGTCCGTTGTAAATGTATACAACTCCATGTTGTTCATCTTCTACAGGGGCTCCAACTGCAACATCATTGTAGCCATCCAGATTGATGTCAGCAATAGCAGCAATAGCAGCTCCAAATCGAGTGTTCTTACCATCAACTGGTCCTTCTAAGGTGCCTTTCTTTTCCAGGCTACCCTGCTGTATGATACAATTATTATGTTAGAAAGCATGGATGTTGACTCATTGCACGAATAAATGATGCATGGTTCAAAGATAATGTTATTTGTATAATATTAGTGCAGCATATCTGCCATTTCATTGCTTCAGCAAAAACAAACATTTCTGGATTACTGATTTCATTACATTATAAATGTTGTATTATTCACTTTAATATTTCAGTTTGAATCAATGCCATGCATCTGCTAATGTGCAGTAGGCTCTATATTATGAGCCAACTAACCAATCTTTGGTAAGGTTAATTCCGCTCAGTGTGATTAAACAGCATATGTTCTAACTCATATTATATGGGTGCGAAAGGGTTCATTCTAAGGAATGCCTTAAAAATCACTGAGTATGATAATTTCACAGGAATTTGTGGTCACAGCAGCTTAGGATCTCAGAGGAGGAAGACCTGACATACAGCTCCTTCTCACGGTCTCTGTAACAATGTCTATCACAGCAATGCAACCTGTAACTAGTTGCTAACATGCAATAAATGACAATACAACAGGCTCTTCTAGTTAGAGCCGTAAGTTTTTTTCTTTCCTACATTAGACCAAGCAGGCCGTACAGATCTCTACAAACTTACCACATGGTGAGTTGCAGTCTAAGTTTACCTGTACTGACTTAATAAGTTTGTCTTCCTTTATCAAGTAATGTTTTGTCACTGTGCTACAGTTAGATGCCCTTAGGCTTGCAAGACTAAATGGAATGCTTGTGTAAATGTTTAGGAAGTATTTATGGTTTCTGTAATTCTAACAGGATTTCTTTTTTATTCAACACAAGTCAATTGAATGATTTTTATTGGCACAAAATGTGTTTCTGCGAAGCAGTTTTGCTCAAGTGGTTAATATTTAATTAGATTCTATAGAAAGGGGTCAATATTTAATTAGATTCTATAGAAAAACCTTTTTACCTGATTGACAGAAAATACATACACTCTTCCTTCCTCATTTTTGTGTTTACCCATAAACATAGGTGACCCAACCAATAGTACATCTGTCAGTGAATCTCTGTCAACATCAATAGAACACAATACGCTGCCAAAATAGGACCCAAGCTGAAAAAGAAAACAGGTGGTTAGTCATTTTAAATTACTAAGCAGACAGATGTAATTTATATGGATATGTTTGCTTGCACAGCACTGTTAGAATTACAGTGATGTCCCAATGGCAAGAACTTCCTTTATTAATATTAACATACTATAATTAAAGATCAGCATTGTCTACCCCAACTAAAACAATTCGTGCCTCCATGGCTAGAAATAGCCCTACACAAAGACATTTCTCCCCCTAAATAATATACTTTACTTACTAGACCTCTGTTATGCACTTGTCCCATTCCCTTTTGTCCCCAGTGATACTAAATTTCAAACAAATACAGTAATTTATAGAGACAACAAGGTGCAGGTCTGGATGAACACAGCAGGCCAAGCAGCATCATAGGAGCAGAAAGGCT